TATATATATATATATATATATATATATATATATTACAATTAAACAACATCAAATAAGATGACCATCTCCAATGGAGATCTCCGCAAAGGAAATTCCAAGCTAATAAAGAAAAAAAATCATTGAATTCGTAAATTTTTACGCAAGTTATCGTGTTTCAAACGGAAAATCAAGTTGATTAACACGAATTTTCTTTTAACTCTTTGATATTTTTTTCTGGTTCTATTATCTTAAATTGATTTTTATCAGTTGCGAAATCGAGGCAAAACAAATTTTCCGATCGTAAAGTACTCTCTGATGCTTCGCATCATGAGTCGTGCAATTTTCAATTTTCTTAGCGGGAAGTTAAAAACGCTTAAAACTTAAAAAAAAAAACTATTTTAGTAGCATTTTTGTGAATTTATTTTTTTCAACTAAGTTTAAATTTGTTTAAAAATTAAAGAGAAAATAAGCTATCTACTAATTTATTCCTTATTTATTATTATAAAATTAATTTATTACTCTACATAATGACCAAATCTGTATCAATCAATAAACTATAATTTATTTCTCTGATGTGAAAAAAAAGTTACTGAATTAACATTGGTTTTGATTTCTAATAATATTCGACTTTAATTTAAATCATTTTTCTAGATAAATTTCATCCAAATATTTTTTTTACTGATTATTTAAAATGTAATCTTCGAATTAAATAATGCTTCTTTGAGATTACATTAATAATATTTTATTGGGTAGTCATCATGATTGATATTTATCAATATTAATGTTTTTTTTTTTTTTTTTTTATCGTGCTATTATGAATTTATTTCAAGTAGTACAATTTATAAAGTTTTATAAGATATTCACAAATAAATATCATCTTTAATTCTATTGATCAGAAGTAAATTCTGTATCAAGTGTTAACAGTATATTATATTCAAATTTAAACATCTTTTATGCTGCTCATTGCTACCAACTACATGATGTGTGCACTTATCGATCGAACTCTGGAATTCTTCATTGTTAACCGAGTAGGCTGTGTAATGAAAATTAAGATAATATCGACATCTATTTTATCGATATGGTGTATATTCCTTGATAGCTATCGGAGTGTTGGTAAACCTTATATTGGAATGAAAGTAAATTTATGAGCAAAGTATTGTTGATACAATTATTTTTTATTACGTGGCGTAGTTATTATGTTACATTAAGTTGTATTAAATATTGTACGGTAATGGCATCGAAATCTGGTCGTAAGCCAAATGTTGATCGCAATAAATTGATAGAAACCATAAATAAACATATTGACACATTGATAACAAAAGAGAAAAAAGTAATTCACAAGGGACATGAGATTTGGCAACAAATTGCTAATGAACTTGACAATAAATTATTACCCGAGTCATTATATTCTATTGTCACAAACAATAAATATAATGTTAGGAAAAAATTACCGAATCAAAGTCTTAACTCAACAGTATCCAGTGTTGAATCTGAAAATTTATCTGACTCAATAGAAGATGCCAATATCAAAACTGATCATAATTTCACTTTTACTATGAGTTTTGATGAGTATGACAGCATGATATGTACCTCACAACGTAAACGAAGAAAATTAAATGGTTACTACACTTTTCCTAAGAAAGTGTTCAAACCATATTATTGGGAAAATAGTATAACCAATAAAATTTGGAAAGCAACGCACAAAAAATGTGGTTATAATTTTATTGATCATTATGTTGCCGAAAGCAAGATGTCAGGATCATTTCAAGGTATTTTCTAATATTTTCTATTGAATAATTTACAATAGTAGTCCATTTAAAATTTATGATGTAATAACTTCCTCTTTTAATTTTATTTTTAATCAATTATAACATTTTAATTTTTTTTTAAATAATTTAATATCATTGTGCTTCATAAAATATTCTTACTATTTCTTTGTTTATAGGTAAATGTAATTGTGGAAGTAAAATAAAATCTACCTTTCAAGTTGCTGGAGACGAAGTAACGTTTACGTGTGTAGCAACACCAGGAAGTGGAAAGTGCAAAAAAACTTATCTACGAAATGAGCACAGAAAAAAAGCTGCTGAAAAAATGAAGTCTTTAACAACTGATCAATATCAATCCGAAATCGCAGTTGAAAAAAATATGCTTCAACATGATCCACAACCTCCGCATTTATCAAAAGCATCTGTTCTACGCACTGCAAAAGCTGAGTTGATTCGATCTGAGTACCACCATAGCGATCCAATAGTATCTTTATCAATAATGAAAGAACACGTTTGGCCTGGAACAATTCATGATTTGTCATTCTCTCCGTTTTATGTACATTATTGGACACATCATCAACGAGATGTTTACATAAAATATGCTGCTCAGGGAAATAGTTGTATATTTATTGATGCAACTGGTGGAATTTCTCCCAAGTTTACTAAGCTAGACAAGACAACCACTTCCAGCTTGTTTTTGTACCTTATTGCCATCAATGTTTCAGGACAACAATTTACTATTGGCCAGATGATTTCTGAAAGACAGGACACGAACGCTATTATCAATTTCTGGAATGATTGGCTTAAATATGGATTTCCTCAACCAAAAGAAGTGGTTATGGATTCAAATAAAGCACAGTTAATTGCAACTATAACAGTTTTTACTCCCTATAAAACGATTGGATAATATGCTGATGCTTGTTTCTCGGAGTCAGTCCCAAACTGTTATATCAGAATAGATGTGGCACACTTCATCCATATCTATGCGAAATTTTTAAGTCAATCGAGTAGGTTGGTCAAAGTTTTTTACTTAGCTTGCTTAGGTAAATTAATATGCATGAGAAAGAAAGACGAAGTCCGAGATTATTTAAAAGCGATTTTCACTATAGCGCTTAGTAAACGTGCCGGAAATTTGCCTTCAGGACGTCCATCACCATGTCAAATTTCCAAAGACTTTTTGAGGAATTCGATCACAGGTATACACTTTAAAAATTACAAATAATTCATTAAACAACTGAGAGTTTTGTTCCTTTTTTTTTTTTTTTTAATACATGATAACTGTTTGTACAATAAATTTTATGGTCACTAACTGAAAACTTTACCATTGAAAAATTAAATCTATTGAGTTACAATTAAAAGCTAGATCTTGGAGGTATTCTTGATTTGAAGAATTGTTTACAAAAAAATCTTCTTTAAATGTATACACTTTTTTTATCTTCTTTAACTTCTTTAACTTTTTCGAAGACGGTTATTTTATTTTTAGACAACTGTTTAGATTCAAATTATCATACCTATCTCATTCAACTTTATTAATGAAGGTTCAATTGAGGTTCTTGTACATGAGTACATTTAAGATATATGGAAATTTCTACTTAAAGATGTTAAGTTATCACATCTAAGTATTAAAAATTCACTTTTGTAACTTCAATCAAAAAAAAACAAACTTTTTTACTCATGATCGTTATCTATTCTACTTAAATACTGAGTATTCCTTTGCTGAATTGAGTTTGCTTAAATTTTACACTCATCCAATTTATCAATCATCAAGATATTAATTCCTTATCTAATACCATTTTCATTATTTCACAATTAAATTTTTGTTTCTTTAAAGTCATTTTAATAGATTTAAATTTTGAATTTAATGTACGTATTTGATTATTTATGTTATAAATAATTTCAGATATGGACGAAAGCTTTGATAAGGACGGCAATGACGATAATTATGATTTAACGGGTAATGCTGATCAAGATATTGAGGAAGATACTACTGAAGAAAATTCGTGTTCTCAATGGGGAAGAGACATTCTTGAAGAAGTTAAAAGTAACTTAGATGATAACGGAAAAGAAGAAAATGCACATCACAATGAAAAACTAGTGACTAAAATACTAGACGATATAAAAAGGATTCCACTGTGGTCGTGTATTTGTTATGATAAATTTTCCACTGGTGGACGGATTCCAGCTTCCAGTGCGTCAGTAGAGGGTGAAGTAGGTCGCTTAAAGCGAGGTCTTTTTAAAGACACAAATGGTGTAAGAGTAGATGTTGCCGTTGAAAAACATATTAGATATCTTCAAGGTCGAATAAGTATTGTTGATGCAAATATTGAAGAATTTCTGTCAAAATCGAGTGACGAATCCCTTGAAGATAGAGATTCTTCAACCCTTAATAACACTAGTAATACTAATGAAAAATCTACTGAAACTGCTAATGTCATTGTTAATGAAAAATCTACTGAAACCACTAATGTCATTGTTAATGAAAAATCTATTGAAACCACTGACGTCAGTACTAATGAAAAATCTATTGAAACCACTGACGTCAGTGCTAATGAAAAATCTATTGAAACCACTGATATCAGCGTTAATAACAAATCTATTGAAACCACTGATATCAGCGTCAATGACAAATCTATTGAAACCACTGATAACAGCGTTAATGAAAAATCTATTGAAACCACTGATGTCAGTGTTGATAATGATGATGATTATGCTGGTAACGTCGTTCAAGGTGAAAAAAGCCGATTATCACCTGCTAATGATGCGATAAAATCCAAAAGTAACTGTGTACGCTGTGCAAAGACTCTGCAAGATAGTGATTCTTTTTTGGTAGATGAATCTGATGATGCGTACTCAAAACATCGGCTTTGTTCTCAGTGTAATAAACTTGGGTCACTCGATACTAAAGAAATGTTAGGAAAACGAGAGTTCGAAAATTGGAGAGGACAAGGTCAGCCCCCGAAAAAGAAGAATTCTCGTTCTCTTTATATTGGTACAAAATCTAAAAACGTCAAAGAAATGTTAGAACATAAAAAATGTAAGGGCTTGCCGATCTTAAAACGTGGCGACTCCAAGGACTTGAAAGCGATAAAGATTAACAATCGATGGATTAGTTTGTACAACACATGTCCATTCGATAGTTTATTTCAATTGATGCTAGTTGCGGCGTGTGATTTTCCTGTTATCAACACAAAAGTATGTATTAATATAATAACTTAATAACATTTCAAGTATTTGTAGTACAAGTAGAATTAATATGAATAGTTATTATGAATCACTTAACATTATTAAAATAATTTACTCAACAGATAGCTACAGAAAAAAATAACAGCCTATACGAAGCAGTTCATGACGCTCTACAAAAAACTATTTCGACCAAAACCTACCGAACGCGTGCAAAAATATTGTTAACACATTTTAAAGTGTTGAAGTCCGTCAACAATGTAGACTTCGTTACGTGTGAAACTTCAGTTGGAAGTTTTGCAGCGAAGCTGTTCAATAATCAGTCAAGTTACGAGGAAACTCTAGATTGTCCTCGAGGTTGTGCGTCTCGGACTATTTCACTTCCAGTGATAAGCATTAAAGATGATTCATTAAATAAACTGGAAAATGTGTTTGCAGACAACATACAAAAAAGTTATCGGTGCAACGGAGATAAATGTAATCGGAAAACAACCAAAAATAGTATAATAATAGGTATGATTATTTTTTAAAAACTTATAGGACTTTCAGGTGAAATTTTCAATTTTCTGTTACCGTATCATTAAATAATTTTTAATGAATTCAACATTATCTGAAAAAAATATAAATATATACTACACGGAAAGAAAAATATGGGAACTGTTCCCATGATTATATAAAATTTTCCAGAATTATGGGAACATTTCCCATAACGATGGGAATGGTTCCCACAATGATATAGGAATGGTTCCCACAATGATATAGGAATGGTTCCTATAATTATAGGAATGATTTCTATACTATTATAGAAACCATTCCCATAATAATTATGGGAACTATTCCCATAATGGTATAGGAAGGATTCCTAGAATATTATAGGAATCGTTCCTATACCATTATGGCAATCGTTATCAAAATAAAATAAAGATACAATTTTCGTGCGGAGTGAGTTCGAAATAATTTCTATAATATATACACGGAAAAAAATTGATTTTCATGTGACAGCAACATATTTTTCATGTAGTATGCAATAATAGTTAAAACAACAATAATAATCTTAATAATAATAATCTATATTATTAAGAGAATAAAAAAAATTTTGTAGCCAGTGTATTTATATGATAAAATGGGTTTTTGCTTGAAGTCGGACCTTTTCAAAGTTTCATATCATCCTCACCAATAGTCAATTTATTATAATAAGAATTTAGGCTGCATTCGAAAATGCTCTGTGTCTAAATACATACCGATGAAATGACCTTGTATCTTGTGAACTATTGACATTTTTAAGGATATAAGCTCATCCTGATGTTACACTCATCGAGACCTTTCATTTGAATACCCACATCAATTTTTCATATATTTTATATATTTATATATATTATATATATGAATATATAAAAAATATATCAAAATGCATGTGGGTATTGTAATGAAAGCTCTTGATGAGTGTTGAAAAGTTCTCAATTATATGTCTAGAGATAGAGCATTTTCGAATGCAACCTAAATACTTATTATCATGAATTGACGATCGATGAGAATGATATGAAACCTTGAAAAGGCACAAATTCAAGTCAAGTCCTTTGAAATGACACTAAATTTCACTAAAAAAATCGATTTCATCATATGAATATTCAGATAACAAAATTGTTCTTATTATCTTAATAATATAAATTATTATTATTATTGTTATTATTATTTAATTATTATTGTTGCTTTAACAATTATTGCCTGCCGTATGAAAATCATGTATCTGCCACAGGAATGTATCATGTGGCACCCCCAATTTTTTTTCCATGTAGGATTTAAACCTATATATCGTGAGAACCATTCCTATACTATTATGGGAATGGTTTCCATAAATTATGGAAACCATTCCCATAATATTATAGGAATAATTCCTATAATAGTATAGGAATCCTATAGCGTTATGGGAACCATTCCCATAATGGTATAGGAATTGTTCCTATAATTTTCTTTCTGTGTAGGTTCTTTCATTTGAAACAACTATTTTTTTTTTTTTTTTTTTTCAGTCGTGTTCGAACGCTTGAACACATCGGACGTATCGACCGATCTAGCATCTATCTATACGCTACGAGTATAATCTCACCACTACAAAGTTAGTCTAAGTTAAGTGTAAAGTATCAACCAAAAGTGTATATATTTTCCAAAACACATCGATCCTAATAAAAGAAAATCAGTAGATCTTGGTCCCAACTAAAGAGACAAGATTAGGTAACTTTCTGACTACAGAAAGGAAACCAACCTCCAACATGACGACTCCATCAGTAGCTGGAGGTTACGCCAGTGCAGCTAGAAGTGAAGTTTTCCCTACAAAAGAGTGTGCTATCATCATTGAAGCTTTGGATGGTGCAACAATCAAAGACTACATCAACGCAATTGGCAAGAGAACACCAGTTTCAAATATCAGATTTATTTCGAAAATCTCAAATGGCAGAATTTGTGCATATTTAGTATCTCAAGAAAAAGCTGAAGAATTAATCACAATACACAAAACAATTCAGGTAAATTCCACAGTGCTTACTATCCGACCACTTATAAATAAGAATAAGAGGATTATTCTGTCAAACGTCCCGCCGATAATCCCTCATGACTACATTGTTCAAACATTAGATCACCTAAATATTAAAGTCACATCAACTATGACATTCTTACGTGCCGCTTCTAATGAACGAGGACACTCACACATAATGAGCTTCCGACGCCAAGTATATGTAGACCCAGATGACGTGTCTAAATTACCAGAAGTCATCCAAATCCCTTTCGACGATACAGTATACAACATTTACACGTCACTAGACTCAATAGCTTGTTTCATTTGCCACGGTGAAGGTCATTTAGCAAAAAACTGCCCAAAAAATCAATCAACTCACCCCCAAGAACAACAACAAAATAACAGCATAGAAACAAACCTAATCCCTACTAAGACAACTCCTGCAGTACAAAAAAAAACAAACACAGACAATAATGATAATTTGTCTCTAACAGAAATGCTAATTGATATTTCATACCCAGAAACCAACAGTAACAATAAGAGACCTCATTCAACCTCCGATGGATCAATTTCTTCAACAAACTTATCCCTCCCACTGTCGACAGCATTTAAAAAGCCCAACGAATTAAAAAAGAACAAAATTAAAAAAATCGAGAACAACGAGAACCAAACTCCCTTAACACAACATCCATCTATTCCCATGCTACCCCTGGAAATCCTCAAAGAGATAGAGGCAAATCCGACGAAATATTCATGCAGTTTTTCCCAACTCCAAAACCTAATTGATAAAACCGCAGAAAGAATATTAATTAAACCTATTATCGAAGAATTTGAAATAAGACCAATCGATCTAGTGGAACAATTGACCGTACTATATCCTCATCTCAACTCTCGCGGATGGAAATCCCGTTTTACTAAACTGAGAAATAAAATCAAATTCGAGTTCGGAATTACCACCCAGGATAATCTCACTCCTACCCAATCTGAAGACGACTCAGAACTCGAGTCCATGAACTCAGACTCAGAAACACACGAAGCTCTAAAATAAACACTATCTTCGACCTTAATTCCTCTCCTCCCTTCCACTTACAAATATCCTATCTTCTACCTCTAAATGCACATAATTCAATGGAACTTGAACGGATTTAACAAAAAATACGAATTCCTTAAAACTTTAAAAGAAAAAACTTCTCCTGACATCATTTGCCTACAAGAAACACACCAAAAAGAGAACTACTGTAATATAATCAAAGGATATAACCATTATTTTAAAAACAGACTAACGAACCACGCGAGCGGTGGGGTAGCTACATACATACGATCCAACATTCCAGCTCAACCAATTCCAATAAACAGTAGCCTCGAGGTAATAGCAGTAAAAATAAGAATGCCAAATGAAGTCACAATCTGCAACCTATATATCCCGAACAGTCACAAATTAACCTCAACAGAACTAAACAACATTACGTCACAAATAAAAGGCCCAACGATCATAATGGGTGATTTTAATAGCCACAATATCTGCTGGGGCTCAAGGCACACAGGATTCCATCCGAGCCAAAATCATTGAAAACTGGATTGAAGAAAATAACTTAGTGATTTTAAACAATGGCTCTCCCACCCATTTCTGCATTAGCTCTGGCTTAGAAAGCTGTATTGACTTAAGTCTAGCAACCCCCCAACTTGCACACAACTTAACTTGGTACGCAGATGAAGATTTATATGATAGTGACCATTACCCCATCCATTTGATTTACGATGATGGATCAACTTCATACCCCACCAATAAACCGCAACGCTGGATCATGACCAAAGCGGACTGGCCCCAATACTCAAAAATTTCAGAACAAAAACTGGCCCTGATTGAAATTGATAACCCGAGATCAGTGGATGAACTCATAACAAACCTGAACCAAGCGATCAGAGAAGCTGCTGATTTATGTATCCCTAAATCCCGAACAACAAGTTTAAGAACCTTCGAATGGTGCTCCGAAGACACTAAAAAATCCATAGAAGACAAAAAAAGAGCATTTAAACAATTAAAAAAAAATAAATCAGACCTTTCACTGAAGATAGAATTTAAAAAACAACGAGCAATAGTTAGAAGGAACCTGAAGATGGATAGAAGGTCGTCATGGCAAAACTTTATATCTACAATGTCAAATCAAACCCCCGCTGACCAAATATGGAAAAAGATTAAAAGAATAAACGGAAACAAAACCTCATCTATCTCGACAACACTTATTAACCCAAAAAACAACTCTTACTGTACTACACTGGAATCAAAAGCTGAACTACTAGCAGACACTTTTGCCCACAACTCTAGCGATGAGAACTTCACAGAAAAATTCCGTAACCTAAAAAAAACAAAAGAACAAGAACAACAACACTACCCGAATTTTACTCACACTGAAGATAACCTAGCCAACGAAATTAATAATCTCTTCCATTTCGATGAACTCTCAGAAGTCATAAAAGCAAGCAAGAACTCTAGTCCGGGCCCCGATGAAATTCCCGTGATACTTATTAAAAATCTATCTGAGAACAGCCTAAAAATATTATTAAAAATCTACAACTACATTTGGAGCAATGGCATATTCCCCAGTCTCTGGAAATGCGCAACCATTGTACCAATTCCGAAACCTGGTAAAGACCATTCAAACCCCACAAACTACCGCCCCATATCGCTATCATGTAACCTGGGTAAACTCCTAGAAAAAATGGTGAACAAAAGACTGATTTGGTACCTGGGAAAAATCAATTGGTTCACCCCAGCACAAAATGGCTTCAGAAAATACCACTCAACGACATTACACCTAGCTCAGTTACAAAACTTCATTAGCAATGCTTTTCAACACTCCCTTCACGTAATCGCAATCCAACTCGACCTCCAAAAGGCCTACGAAATAGTATGGAAGAAACGAATCGTAGAAAGCCTAACTGAACTGGGAATTAATAACAATTTATTACACTATATTAAAAACTTTCTAAGTGACAGAACTATACAAGTTAAAGTAGAAGAAACCCGTTCAGAATTTAGAACACTGGAAAACGGAGTCCCTCAAGGATCAGTCATAAGTGTTACGCTATTCCTGATAGCTATCAATGATATAATCCGATGTATCCCCCCTTCCACGAAAGCACTCCTCTATGCAGACGACCTCACTGTATACTGCTCAGGCAAGAGCATCAAAAACATATGTGAACTGCTGCAAGAAACACTTAACAACTTATCAACTTGGTGTGAAGATACAGGGTTTAGATTCGCAGAAAATAAAACTGAATACATGGTATTCACAAGAAGCCACCAATATAACAAATTCCAACCCCTTCTCTCACTTAACAACACCATACTAGATCAAGTAAACTCTTTGAAAATCTTGGGAATGATATTCGATAGAACCCTCAACTGGGGGACTCATATAAATTCTCTAAGAGGACAATGCCAACAAAGAATCGGAATTCTGAAAGCCATTGGGTCCAGGAAATGGGGAGCAGATACTCAGGTCCTACTCAACTCCTATAAAGCTATCGTCAGATCAAAACTGGATTATGGATCTGTGATTTACAATTCTGCACCTAAATCCCACCTCAGGAAAATCGACTCAATACAAACGACAGCACTTCGATGGGCCCTAGGTGCATTCAGAACAAGCCCGAGACTTAGCATCCTAGCCGAAGCACAAGAAACACCTCTAGACCTAAGAAGACTGGAATTAACATTAAACAACATCCCCAAGCTGAAGATCGTCGAACCCCACCTACTCAAAAAAGACCTAGATATCCAAATAAATCACTCGTCGTTGCCAATCCCGATATTCAAGTATACTGAACAATACATATTAGGCGAACTCAAAGACATCGTTATCAGAAAACCCTCCATAAATCCTAAACCCCCCTGGATACCAATACATAAAAAATTCGATCTTTCGATCTACGATAACTCAAACAACAAAGCTAATACTCCCGAACCGATATACCGAAGCCTGTTTGAAGAAATGATCGATAAATACGCAGAATACAACAAAATCTACACGGATGGCTCTATATGCAATAATATAAGAGGCTGTGCACTTATAGTAGGAGAAGAAATCCTTCGATTCAAACTACCTCAATATTTTTCTATTTTTTCTTGCGAATTATTTGCCATTGAGAAAGGACTCGATTTAATTGAGGAACAGAAAATAAAAAAGGCCATTATCTGTACTGACTCTAAATCTGCAATAGATGCACTAAAAAATCCTTCTAACCATGATGAAGACGTCCAGAGATGCCAAAATAAACTTTCCAAAATTTCCCTCTCAATGGAAATCATCATAGCATGGATTCCAGCACACCAAGGAATCCATGGAAACGAAACAGCTGACTTAAACGCAAAACAAGCTACCACTGATGGTATAGACCTATCGACATCTCTCCCAACTTCTGCGAATGATTTGAAGAAATACATAAAAAAACACATCCAAGATGAATGGAACAAAAGATGGATTTCCAATAACTCCAAACTCCATAAGATTCGCCACAACATCTGGGATCATCAACCCCCACTCACCTCAAGAGAATACCAATGCTTTCTTACCCAACTGAGAATTGGACACACTCTTGTCACCCATAGACACCTTCTAAACAATACAGAACCTCAGTACTGCCAAAAATGCAACACCCAATCTACAGTAGAACATATCATCATTGAATGTCCAGAGCTTGATGATAAAAGAAGAGATCTCCACCTACCAAGAAACTTGAAAGATACCCTAACAGATCCTAAACACTCCTTTAATGCAATACAATTATTTAAAGAATATAAACTATCCAATCCAATTGATTACAATAACCTACTATAAAATGTATGTATAAAACGTATATGCATAAAATGTATATATAAAAGTATATGTATAAAATTTATGTGTATAAAATATATGTATAAAATGTATATGTTCGTTAAATTAAACAGAACAATGAACACAAAAATATGTACTAATAGTAGTCGCTAAGGACCCTAGAGGTTGACGCGACTTTAAATAAATAAATAAAAAAAAAAAAAAAAAAAAAAAAAAAACTATTTTTTTTCATGGACCCTCAAAAATATTGCTCGAGATAATGGAAATAAAATTCGCTCAAAATTTAAGCCCTTAATTTTAATGTTAATTACTTTTTTTTTCATATTTGATTTTTTTTTCATTAAAAAAGCATGCATTTCGAGTCATTTTTTTCAAATTCCTATAACTTTGCCGAGTTTTGAATGTTGCTATTGCTAAAATGTTGCTCATATTGCTCAAATGTTGTTTCAAAAATCTAAATGATTGAATATCAAGATATAAAATATTAGAAAATCGTATATAGTTGTTTTTTTAACTGATCTTGTTTATAAAAGATAAATGTACTGAAATAATTCACAAAAGTCAGTTTCGAAAGATGAATTTCCTATTTTATAAATCATGATCATTAAGCAAATATTTTGGAATTAGTTGTTTCATTTTTTGCTACTACATCTCGTATCCAGATTCTCAGAATCCGAATGCATATATAACTATAAACTATTATTTGTAGGAGACATCGTCTTATTTGAACCGTACATCCAGAGCGGTGCAACAGTTATGAGACGTCTTGAAGAGTTGCGGAAGGAATATGTACGTCCTACCGATGGCAAAAAAATGAAACTTGTTGGGTTAGTTCATTTTTATCCACCTACACTTAGTAGAGAAGGCATTGAAACCAGGAAAAAAACGAAATCGAAAAATCAAGACTAAACGAGAAAAATTTTAAAAATGAAAATGAGAACGGACTCGAAAATAAGGAAAATTTTGAGGAAAGTTATAAAAAAATCGGCCACTTTGTTGCTATTGCTTTACGATCAGACGGGTCATGGGTGAAGTATGATGATTAAAAAAGTACAGAAAAACTAGTAAGTAAGAAATTTAAAGCTGAAGTAGTTCTGCTTATGTATGCAGTAGCTGAATAAATTGTTATTTCTTATTTACAAAACAATAACTGATTTTCATTTATTATTATTACTAGCTGTTACACGTCCGATCTGCTAGGCATTTTACAAATGAAAAAAAAAAAAATCTGTTGATCCTCGAGGCTATTCCTAAACTTCACACTTCGTTTCAGCTTCAAATGCTCTGAAATCTCCCAATAGGTTAATTTTCTACCACTTTGAGCTCAAAATTCTGATAATTATTTTGGATCAACTCTTTTTTTGAGATTTCCAAACAAACGCTTCGTTCAATTGTGATTTTCCGGCAGCACGAACCCAGTTTACCAAACATGAAAATAATTTATAGTCTTAAGTTGATTGCTCGAAGAATTTTAAAGTTACATGAAATAAGTTTTTCAATTATAATTTTTTAGGGGTGTGCGAATATTCGAGTTTACGAATTATTCGCCTCGAATTCGAATCGAATATTCGAATAATTCGAATAGTCCGAATAAATCGAATAATTCGAATAGTCCGAATAAATCGAATCGTTCAAATAATTCAAACAGCCGTTTTCTGTTGATAAACTGAATAATTTTTGTGTAAAAATTAATTCGTTTTATTTTATTTGACTAAATGAAGTCTTCATGATTATTCGATAGTAAAGTCTGCTTATTATTCGTAATAAATATCTTTTGGTATATTCGGACTTCCCGTCTCCGGGCATCTCGCCAATTAGACATTTTTCAGGAAAAATTCGATTTTTTTACAAAATGAGATCTACGGACCTGATAGATCAGACATTGAAGGAGTGTCAATATATAGACAGCATTTGGAAATTTTATAGAGTTATTTCTAGCTAAGATTAATTAATTTAATTTTTTTTTCTCTTAACTTAAATAAATTAAGTCTATAGCTACACGGAGAGAAAAATGTGGAAATCATTCCTATAATTTTTATGAAATATTTTCCTATACCATTTTAGGAGCGATTACTTGAATTATGGGAACTATACCCATAATTTTTGGGAAACGTTACTATAATTATGGGAATAGTTCCTATAATTATAGAAACGATACCTATACTTATAATTGTAATATCGGCATGATTGTAGCACTAAATGAGCACTAAATTATTGTATCATAAATAATAAGCTTTTCCATGTTAATGGACTTGTTTGTGGTGTACAAAACTGTCAATGTGTCAGGTTAGCATTGTTGGAATTATAAAAATATTTAAACAATTCAATTGTTGACTTTTCTCCGTTTTTACTTGTAGCACTAAATGAGCACTAAATTATTGTATTACAAATAGCAAGCTTTTCCATGTTAATGGACTTGTTTGTGGTGTACAAAACTGTCAATGTGTCAGGTTAGCATTGTTGGGATTATAAAAATATTTAAACAATTCAATTGTTGATATTTTTTCGTTTATACTAGTAGCACTAAATGGGCACTTAATTATTGTGATATAAATAATAAGCTGTTCCATGTTAATGGACTTGTTTGTGGTGTACAAAGCTGTCAATGTGTCAGGTTAGCATTGTTGGGATTATAAAAATATTTAAACAATTTAATTGTTGATATATCTTCGTTTATACTTGTGGCACTAAATGAGCACTTAATTCTTATTAAATGAATAATGAGCTGTTCCACGCCAGTAGACTTTTTGATGGTGTTCAAAGCTATCAAAGTGTCAGGTCAGCATTGTTGGGATTATAAAATTATTTAAACATATCAATTGTTGATATTTCTCTGTTTTTACTTGTATCACTATGTAACGGGTGGTTTAATTCCCGTACTTAAGGCCCCTGATTTAATTTAAACAATTAACAATATTTTCGACAAATGACTCTAAGTTGCTTCAGGGCGCCACCAGGATTATTGTCTCGGTTCCTGGAACCGGATACCAGAGCTGAGTTACTTAATCTTCAGGGAGAAAGAGAGAGAAAGGTGGTCTGAAATAAATATATTTTTATTAACAACGGTACCAAATTTTATTAACAATAAAAATTAACAATTCGTACACTTGTACGTACACTCCTCAACTCACTTACACTACTCACTTAAAACTACTGGAGAATTTCGGGCTGTAACCGGCGACTCCACTTAACACTACGACTTAATACTACGATCTCTTACTTCACGCTCCCCACCGGGAAGTCGCTACTACAACTTATATCTACGTTGAGGATTTCGGGCTGGAACCGTCGCCTCACTCAACGTTAATCCTCTGCTCGGCAATTCATCAACAAGCAGAAGACGTCGCACCAAGTCCTAGTCGTCCTACTCGGCAATTCATCAACAAGTAGGGCTCGTCTTATAAAATTTTCCTAATCCCACAGTACCCTCCTATGGAGCGTCTATACTGTGGTTTCTAACTACGTCGCGCTGTCCACCGGACCCTCACGCTCTAGGACTGTACGAATTGCTCCACTCGGCAATTTATCAACAAGTAGAGAACGCGTACAATCGCACACACATACCCCACACGATCTTCACACACATTACCCACGCGTCACACACACTGATTCTACTTTCTTATTTCCGGATTTACTAAATTACTCCGAAAAATGTCAACTTTAATTTTTCTAAAATAATTCAGTCATTAGCTTGGATTAAAACCCTATGATTTATTCTCACAAATTAAACAAATTTCTTTCTTAAAATTCCGGCTTAAACCGACGCTTCTTTTTCCGCCATTTTGAACACGAGCTTGTTTCTACGCATTAACAAATTCTTAGAATATTCTTTTGTAATTTTATCTAAATTTTTCTCGGATTTAATCCACACGAATAAATAGTTTTATTAAAAATTTTACCGGAATAACAATGATAATAAATTATTGATAATTTTTACAGGACGTTTTCAATATAAGACTCCCCAAGCAGAAATTGGCTATTAGATTAAATAATAATTTATAATTTTACTAAACGTAAAAATTACGTGCCTAAATTTTTTCTGCGGGTGTTTAAGTCTTTTCTGCGTCGAAATTTAATGATGATTTAATTCTTAATAATTAATAACCCGTGGAATAACTATTTTCTGATAAATTGTGAATAATCATTAATTAATAATTAATTCACTCTGGTGAAAATTTAAACACAGAGAATTTTCCACGGCGTTAAATTTCTAAATGCGACGCAGTTTTCCCCAATAAATCAATTCCGGTAATTAAAATTGTTCCGAATAATTAGTTAAATAATTTTCCACAATTAATAAATAAAATAAAATAAAATGATTAATTAAGTGGAAATTCAATCGTTAAAATTAGTCCATGTATTTATTTTATAAATCTACGGCGTCACCAAATTCTTAAGGAATTTGCGTGCTCAAGATGGACGCCGTTACTGCTACGTAGTAGCTTGACCTCGGGTACTGAGAGACGCTTGACTGGTCGTGAGCTATGATTGGAATGTTTTCTCGGTGTTCAGAAAATTATACTAATAATTTGTCAATAAATGAATTCATTAATTCCAATCAAAGGTGTTAATTATTATTAACCTGCAGAATTAATAATTTAGATACTCACGACCAAACCCAGGAGGTCTGGAACATTCCTCGGATGTAACAATCCCCTGGAGGAATTGTTCTCAAAGCTAACAAAAATTAATTTAAT